CTCCCTCCCTGCCCCCGCCCCCCTTCTTGAACCCTACCAGAAACCCTAAACCCCAAACCGTGAACCCTTAACTAACCCTCAACCCTAAACCCCTAAACCCAACCCTTATTCCTTGGGGTCCAGCGACTTGGGCGCTGCGGAATCACCATGCTCACGCGGATGTCCCGGGCCGGGCCGAGGCGGGCCGCGTAGCGTTAAAATTACGCCCCCCAAATCTGTGCAGTGTTCTTTTTGCCTCGGCCTCCCTCCATTGAAGGATAGGCTCGGCCGTCTCATATCAACCTTGGCGTGGTGGGAAAACCCAAACTTCATGTTGCTCGCAATAGGAACCGGGTTTAGGGTTTAGGTTTTACTTCAAGCCTGATAGACTTGTCGACTTAAAGCGAAGACTTTGCTTCAGCGGGCGGGTGCAGGAGGCCAGCGAAAGCTGATGGCTTCCCCCAGACCTCATAACTCTTCACCCTAAGTTGGGGACCCTGCAGCCAAACCCTGAAAGCCTCAAGAAACGACTCTTCGGGAAAGAGCGTGAATAAGCAGTGAAGTCGCACATCCAAACTTTGCAAACCGGAGCCCAAAGTTTCAAAACAATGAAGAGGAGGAGTGTCGTGAGATGTTGTAAGCACCCAGCCGTCGTCCAGCTTGTGAGACTGGCCGGTGAAGTGCACGTAAGTGTCACGCCTTGCAGTGGCGACAGAGGGCCGGGCCGCAGGTCGTATCCCTAGGGTTTAGGGTTTAGGCTTTAGGGTTTAGGGGCTCAGAGCATGCAATTGCTTATTGGAGATCTCTCTCATGGCAGGCCGTGCACATGCATCCTCAGCCTTTCTCATGAATGTAAGAAGCGCACCCGTTTGAATCAGGCGCCGGCCTGAACAGGGGACACCAGAACGAGAGTAGAACCATTGTAAATCACCATCACCCAATCCTCAACCTACAGACCCTAACCCTAAACCCTGAACCCTAAACCCTAAACCCAAAACCCCCTTCAACAACTGATCTCCTTTCCTCGCATCGACGGCTCGGGCAGCACCGCGCAAGGCTGCAGACTGCCTGCAATGCGTGGGACGAATGCTGAGCAAGGTAGTGAGTCTGCAGCCGCGGAAAAAATTGTGTACATATTATATATATATATATATATATTTATATTTATATTTATTTATTTATTTATACTCATATTGATACTTATATTTATCTTTATTTATATTTATATTTATCTTTATAGTTCTATTTATATTTATATTTATCGGGTGAAGATGTATATGTTTTATTTATTTATTCAGTCGATTGCTCCAGTGTCTGGAAATTCTCAAATGGAACAGGAGTTCAAAAACCTCAAATTTCAACATCCGACATCACAGGGTCCCAAGCTTGAGGCTCAGACGGCTCAGAATTCCGAAACTCCAAAATACCGGATTCGTTTTGCAATGAAAAAGCAGAGACTGCATGGTCTCTCGACACAACGAATTTTACTATTTATGTTTAAGTGGTTCTGGGATAAGGCCTCTCATTCATGCCATCTACACGGGGGCTGGTGGGGGGGGGGGGGGGGGAAGGTGGGGTAGCAGACATATAATATATATATATATATATATGTGTGTACATATGTATATCTATATATATATATGTATATATGAGCATAGGTAGGTATATATGCGCACTCTCTCTCTATATATATATATACATACATATGTTATATCTGTATGCTATAGCTATGCACACACACGCATATATATATATATATTATTATATTATACTATATAACATTATATTATATTATATATTATATTATATTATATTGTATTGTATTGTATTGTATTGTATTATATTATAATATAATATATATATATATATAAGTATATCTATTTGTTTTTTGCTTATTTGTGTATCTATGAAACATGCGTCAGCCACTGTCTGTCACCAGTAGGACGCACGACTCGCAGTTCGACTGCATGCGAAGGCAAGCACTATAGGGGCCTTAATGATTAGAATACGGCTTTGGAGGGGGGGTGATGGTGGTACAGTTGTATCGGGGCCATAAGGGAATACTATTAGCAGCTATAGTAAAGTTACATCGGGACCATAAGGGAACACCAGTAGTAATTCTTCCGACCGCTACATTACCCTCGAAGCGGCGCCGCACCTTGGGTCTGGGGCCACAGTCGGCCTGGTGCCACAGGGAACGGAACGCCAAAAGCTTGCAGGGCTTAGCTGAGCTGGGATTCCATGGATTCCGAGACCCCCAAACCCTAAACCTTAAACCCGAAAACCCTAAACCCCAAAACCCTAAACCCTAAAACCATAAGCCTAAAACCCTCTATCCTAATCGAAAAGCATTTGGCATCTTAGTGCGCGGCATGGGTGCTTCCGGAGGCTCATCCCAGTCTTCTTGAAGAAATGGCCTGGGCCCACAAAAATACTTCTCATGCATCGGGTTTCGGGTTTGGGTTTAGGGTTTTAGGGCCACAAAATACTCGAGTAGATGCCTGCACACAACGCGCGCCTGGTGCCAGCAAAAACAAAAACAGTGGCATGTGTCTTCGTCTTTTTTCTCCTGTCATGTCTAGTCAAGACTTCTCAGGACAAGACGTTAGACGCTGTATCTCGTTGTGAGCGTTGATGGAGAGGTACGTCCCCAAGGCCTCCAAGCAACCATCACTTAGACTCGCGTGGCAAAGATGCTTGTACCTAAGGCTCGTCCGTACCTAAGTCATAGTTACACTTTCTGCGAGACCTCAGCAATGTCACCAAAGACTTCACGGGATTGCCGGGTAAACTCGAAATCGTGATGCCGACTCAAAATTCATCAAGCTACGTCGCTGGGCATTGTTGGCAAAGGCCGTACAGTGGACCCAGAAAAGCCAGAGACCGTTTGCGCGTGGACGGTGGATAAGTGCGGGCCGCATAATTTGCTATGGTTCAAACAGAGATCACCTGCAAAAGCTGCCTGTAAGGGACCCTACCCTAGGACGTTGGAACAACCCCTATGCGCACAGTGCAGACACAGATGTCTTGCAAAGATTCGCAACCTGGACCCCAAACCTGAAACCCCCCAAACCCCCCAAACCCCCCAGCCGGCCATGCACATGGGGCCCAGGAGCATCGCAAGGCTTTCAGCCTTAGGATTGCGAACGGGAATTCCTGCGTTTCACATGGACCGATCAAACTCAAGGGCCTCTTTTTGGGGCACTACACTCGCTAACTCGCGCTAACACGTGTAGAACATGCGAGCTCACACCCCCCCCAGCCCCCCACCCCCCCTACCCAGACCTTCCACCCCCTCTCCTCTCCGCACGCCCCGCTCCCCCTCTACCCCCTCCCCTCTACCCCCTACCCCCGACACCCTACCTGCTAGACCTTCTCTATCCCCCACCCCCCTACCCCTAACCAGACCTTCCACCCCCCTACTCCCCCTGTAGCCCTACCCTCTACCGCCTACTCCGCCCCTGACCAACCTCTTGTGTTCAAGTAATCCAATTCAATGCACGCCCGCCCTCCCCGCTCCCCCCGCTCTCACCGCTCTTTTATCTAGGCCCAGAAGTTGGATCACCGCCCATGTGAAGTGTCAAAGCGATGCCGAGCCCCTTTTTCCTCCAGCATCAGGCTCCGCGGTCTCCGTCTTCCACCTGATGATCTGAGACTCGGATGGCCCTTAGAAGCCTCTGAAAAAAAACACTCCTGAACATGATCCTCTTGGTTTAGGGTTTAGGGTTTAGGGTTTAGGGTTTAGTGTTTGGGGTTTAGGGTTGAGGGTTTAGGGTTTAGGGAAAATATCAAATGCCCCAAAGGGCCTACCGAGGAGGGCTTCCTTCCGAAGCCCAGCGGAGATCGCAGGGTTTAAATTACTTTGGGCCGTCCGGAGGGCGATGCTTCGGCGAAAACTCATCCGAGAGATGCCGCGACGTCTGCGACGCGAGGTATGACCTAGCAGCTGCAATACAGAATGCTGGAGTGTGTATATACATGTAGATATATACAGACATGTATACAGAGTTTAGGGTGGTTTGCGCGCAACTTCCGCAGCTTCAAAGTGACCAACTGCACGGCTCCATGGCTGTCACTCTAACTTTGGTAAGGAAACTCACTGACGCAAGCCACGGGCCTTTCCCAGTCAAAGTTATGTCCTTGGGAGGCAAAGTCTTGTTTGGTAGCGCATGCCACGCAAGCTGAACAAAACACCAAGGGCGTCTCTGCGTCACAGCATGTCCGGATTGCCGATGGATACAGTTCAACATCAGCACAATTATGATGGCCAAGCTACCTTCTGCAAGTCGCTGGCCTGGTGCAGGGCAGGAGAAGGACAGGGAGACATCCAAAAAAGAGCGAGAGAGGGCGAGGAAGAGTGCTGTCCAACTTGCTTGCAAGCATTCCGGCTGGGAACCCGAGACCCCCTGAGAGCCAGCAAAGGCGGCATGCCAATCACTAGACAGAACTTGGTCCCGAAACCCTAAACCCTAAACCCTAAACTTTAAACCCTAAACCCTAAACCCCCGCCTGGAACGAACGTGCCTACTGGTCTCATGTCCCCGGGGTTCAGCATGCTGTGCAAATCGACCCCCGCACCGAAGACTGTGACAACATCCTTCGCGGCCTCGTCCGGGAATATATACACACACATATGCATATATACTATACTACATACACTGCATGTATATATATATATACATATACATATACTACGTATACTCTATATATATACTACATGTATAGAGAGAGAGTATGTATATGTACAGTATATATAGAGTTGGGTCACAGTTTGGTCCATTCATCAAAATGCAACCTATGCCCTGCGCTCTCCAAAGCTACACCCTTCAACCCGTGTAAGGGCTTATAGGGAGTAGGGACATGTAATCCCCTCCTCATAATCCTCCTCCCCCGCCCACCCCGCCCCAGAAAAAACATCACAATATATACGCACACATAATATGGACATTCAGCCATCACGCACTACAAGAGTAACCCAACATCCCAGAACAACCCTAAACCCTGAACCCTGACCCTGAACCCTAAACCCTCAACTCACCCCTGCTGGCTTCGGGATCCTTTGGCGGGAATGCAAGGAGCAAGTTCTCGGGCGGCCCGCTTGCCGCTTTCCTCGCAAGTGTTGGTGTTGGAGCCAAAACCCTTAGCCCTAAACCCTAAACCCGACAGTTTAGGGTTTAGGGTTTAGGGTTGAGGGTTTAGGGTTTAGGGTCTAGGGTCTAGGGCCTAGCCGAGGATGTAAAGCTTAGCATGCCCAGATGGGGCTGCAGGCAGGCGGCATCATCTCGCGCAGCGGCTTGCAGAGCTCAATCTCTTTGATGAAGCGCACGGTTACTCTCACGTCGCGGTTCAGACCGGGGAAGGCTTGGCAGCCTAAGTGTCCCGCACCCCATGGGTTTAGGGTTTAGGGTTTAGGGTTTGGGGTTTGGGGTTTGGGGTTTGGGGTTTGGGGTTTGGGGTTTGGGGTTTGGGGTTTGGGGTTGGGGGTTTGGGGTTTGGGGTTTGGGGTTTGGGGTTGCTCGCAAACTCCTCCTTCCCAAGGCATAGCTGCAGTACTGCCCGCCCTACTCTGGACCCGAGAAACTCATCATCCGCCTATGAAAGCCTTAATGGGGTTTAGGGTTCAGGGTTTAGGGTTTCGGGTTTGGGACCCAGCAGCCGTTTCCGTTGAGGATGTCCAGGAGCTGGGGCGCGTGCTCCTCAGATGATTCAGGAGAGCCCTAAACCCTGAAGCCTAAACCCTAAACCCTAAACCCTAAACCCTAAACCCTAAACCCTAAACCCTAAACCCAGGGTGGGGGATTTTGGCGTCACCTCTCTTCAGGGCAGTGCAAGGGCCTGGGGTGTGCGTAGCATCTGCTGCAGTACTTTCCGGGAGGCTGCGCGCCATCCTGAAGACCAAGCTTTGGGATGTTCCCCCTTAGGGTTTAAGGTTTGGGGTTTGGGGTTTAGGGTTTAGGGTTTAGGGACCCCCTTAGGGTTTGGGGTTTAGTTGAAGGTTTAGGGTTTAGGGGGGGTACTATAATCCCTATCAAGGACTGTTAGTACAAGGTGGAACGTCCTGAAGACCGAGGTTGTAGCAGGTTTAGAAGTGCATATAGAAGCTGGCTGGATATGTAGGTTCCTACCTGGGCCCTAATTTTGCGCGCGCTTTTTCAAAGGCTTGTCTATCCTCCCCTGAGAGCCTTAAGAAAAACACTAACTTTTCAAGTATTCCCTTGGGTTTTACATAACTAAGCCCAGAATAAGAAGTCCTAAGGGGGGCTACAGTTATGCAGCCGAGGCTCCTCCAGCGAGATGCCCCAAAGCCGTTCCAGCCCTGTAAGCGCAGCCGTCTTCATCGCAGGTGACATTGTGCTGCGCACTTCGTAGAGGCTTCCGTAGAGGATCCTTAGGGTTGCCGCCAAGGGGTTGTGGGGTTGGGGTTTGTAGGGTTTATGGTTTTTTTTGGGTTGGGGTTTATAGGGTTTTGAGGGCTTACAGGGTTTATAGGGTTTACAGGGTTTATGGGGTTTGTAGGGTTTAAAGGGTTAAGACAAGAAGACGGAAGAAGAAAGTGAGCTCAAGACACCGGGCTGCTCGAAGTCGTAGTGAACAAAGGGCGGCACCACCACCTCCTGCCGGGTCTGAGCAACAGTGTCATTTTGTCTTGGCCTCGCTTTTTTTTAACAGAAAGATACCTAAAGTTGGTCATTGCAGGATTGAATGACCTATACGACTCCGATGACTACGGAGCATATATAAGAGGGCTTGAACTTTAATGACTCGAGAATCATGCGCAAGTGGGGCTTGACGGCAGCTTCTGTTGGTTTTCTCTGGTGCCACTTTGCAGGGCAAGGCGGCCGGCCTTCTCAACGTCGGCAGCCATTCCCGAATTGAAGAATTGAACTGGAAATGCCCAGGAGCTGCTAGCAGCGTTGAAGCGCGCCACATAAATCAAGATGTGAGACCTCAGCAGGACATTGAAGCCGACAGGTCTAGCAATCGGGCACCGTCTCAAAGCAAGCCGGTCAGGAGCCAGGATACTCTTGCCAAGCCAAGGCAGCAACACGTTCGTTGCCAGTTGCCTCCACGGCATAGAAATCCAGCACCCACAGTACCTTGCGCAACTTGGCCCCTGCAAGGGGAGCTCAACCCTAAACCCTAAATCCTAAACCCTAAACCCTGAACCCTGAATCAACCCTAAAGCGGCTACTCCGCGCGGCACCAGTCGTCCTCGCATGACAATGCTGTCAAGCGACACCCTCCATACTGCGGGAGAACGAATTAAAGGACCACGTGTACGCTGCATCGTGCTCATCGATCCGTTTTGGAACCCAGATTCCACGGAAGATGAGCGGACAGTTGTCAGCAACTTCCTGCAAAGTAGCGAAGTCCGGGATGCCCACGAATGGCAACCCTAAACCCTAAACCCTAAACCCTAAACCCTAAACCCTAAACCCTAAACCCTAAACCCTGAACCCTGAACCCTAAACCCTAAACCCCAAACCCTAACAGCATCGGATCCAATTCGGCAAGTCCCGCCTTGACTTCAAACTGATCCTCGTCAGTGCGCCGGGCCGTGGCTGAAAGCGCATCAAGACTTTGAGCTCCTGCACGCGGGTTTAGGGTTTAGGGTTTAGGGTTTCGGGTTTCGGGTTTAGGGTTCAGGGATGTTCAGGGTTTAGGAGTTCCCTCAGCAGCAGCATTTCCCACGTTCCCACGCCAAGAACTAGTAACCAGCCAGGTATCGCGAGGTCTAGTCAGCATCCCGAACCGCCCTCAACCCTCTAACACCCTAAGCCCTAAAACCCCAACACCCTAAACCCTAAACCCTAAACCCTAAACCCTAAACCCTAAACCCTAAACCCTAAACCCTAAACCCTAAACCCACCCTAGGACAGGTCCTTTCCCTGCTTGCTTTCCCGTGAGCCGCGCCCCGTGTAGTGCTTGGAGCGCTGCCAAGAGACCGTAGACCAGGACCTATCTGCTTCATAGTTGGGATAGTAATAAAAATTTAAAATTTTATTCTTTTTGAGTTTAAGTACCCTTAAAAATGTAAAATGTTATCCCACTATGACAAAGCTATACTGAACTCGGCACCCTAGCAAAAACCACAAAATTATAGCTGTTCCTTGGGGAGTATCGTAACCGAAAGTTGAAAAATCATAATTTTGGCTGTTCCTTAGGGAGTATAGCAACCAAAAGTTTGGAATTATTTCCAAGTACCCCTAAGGGACCGAGTATGGCGAGCCGTCTGCATCCAGCACCTTCCGGACAGTAGATACCTGGAGCATTCTCTCGGGGGCAGGGACAGGGGCCATTATGCCAGAGCTGCTAGACATGACACACCCTCTAAACCCTATAAACCCTAACCCAAACCCTAAACCCTATTTTTGCCTCAGCCAAGTGGCAGACACTTCGCCAACCCCGGGGTCCGCCAGAGATCGCATTCGCCGAATCAGCTCGTAGAGATGAGGGCTGTCGGCCAGGTACAAACGCAGCGGCAGCCCCACAAACAGCAGTCCTTTTCGGGTGTAGGGTTTAGAGTTTAGGGCTTAGGGTGTAGGATGTAGGGTGTAGGGTGTAGGGTTTAGGGTTTAGGGTCTAGGGTGTAGGGTTATGGCTAAGTACTATAGGTGCAAGGACACCTCCCCGGAATGTTGGGTAACAGATGCTCCGAGATTCCACGCTTCATGTGCATGAACCCGTCAAAGGGCGGGCTTTCCGTGGCCCCCAACTTCCGGGCCATGGCTGCTGTGCTCTCGTGGAAAGCACCCGGCCTGCAAAAAGTGGCCGTCAACAAGCGCTAAAGCCATCCGGGGGTTTACGATGCTAAGGGGTGCCTTATTGGGTTCCTGATTACAAGGGATTATATATATATATATATATGTGTATATATATATGTATATATATGTATATATATATGTATATATATATATATATATGTATAATCCTTCTATTTGGGAGAGGGGGGGGGGGGGGGGGGGGCTGTTTTAGGGGTTCCCTATTTTCGTAAACCCCCCATTGGCAAGGCACCTCAGAGTCCAGTCGTAGGCAAGTTCCTCGAGCACCGGGGAGCATTGTCCTACTAACTCACTGTTGGTTAGTAGGGTTTGTGGGGGAATGAGGTACCCTATATAGTCCCTTAAAGCGTATATATAGGGCCCGAAGGCTCCTTCCCCTTACATTCACAGAATCTCGTTGCCCTATAAACGAGAGAGACACAAAAGCCCGCGTCTTCTTGCTTCCGGTGCTGAGTTTCCAGGTGCTTTGTGGCGACCACCACCTTCATCTCCAAGCGCAAGATCAGCTTCCGGAATTTATCGGCTCTGGAGTGGCTGGATGTCCACTGGATGAAGTGGTCGCGCAGCATGGGTCCTCTCGGCAGGCATCGTTCTTGCACTTCGTCCAAGTTCAGACCGAGCATCTAACACTATCATAATCTAAGAAGATAAGAACTTAAAGCTTGATCATATGATCATATGCCAGTTGTGCCAGAATGAAATACTACAATCATATTATCATATACTCGTATAATCATACTGAAAGCAACAGGTGCGCACTCCAACACCACAGCTGCCTGCAAATTCGTCCAGGCCATATCGGCGTCCGGTGTGGTCCCGGGGCGTGTTTTCAACCAAGCGCTGCCTCGGTACTCCCAAAGCTCCAAACAACGCGCCAAACAACGCGCAGTCACAAGATATCACAAGCAGCAGACAACCGGTTCGACTTCCCCCTAAACCCTAAACCCTAAACCCTAAACCCTAAACCCTAAACCCTAAACCCTAAACCCTAAACCCTGGTTCAGAATGTTCAAACTTCGAGTTGAGCTCAAAGCTCAGCCCCGCGCATCCCTTCCATCCAGCCCTTTCCACAGATGAACTCGAAGTTCAGCATCTCCTTGGCTTTGGCTTTCAAGAGACTCTGAGGCTTCCGAGGGGCTTCGGGCCTTTGGCTTCTGCAAGCCACTGCAAGCCCTAAACCCTGAACCCTAAACCCTAAACCCGAAACCCGAAACCCTAAACCCGAAACCCTAAACCCTCAGCAGAAGCAAAGTCTCATGCAGCATGCTCGCCACGGCGGCCCCCGTCAGCGCCCAGCGCTGTCGCCTACATCAAAGGCGGCCACAGAGCCGAACCATCCATCAGAAGCAATACAAAACATAAAATATGCACGCAATTCAATCATAATCTCATATAAGCATATGAAAATACAATAACATGATGCAACCATAATCTCATATAATCATAGGGAAAAATAATGAACCCAGGGAAAACATCGCCACCTAGGTGTCGCCGGCCTTTCGTCGTGGGAGGTCCGCGGTGGCGGGGTGGGCGCGCTCGCTGCGCTCGCACTCGTCGCAGCTGCTTTAGGGACTCCTTCACTCCAGTTTGGGGTTTAGGGGTTAGGGTTTAGGGCTTAGGGCTTTGGGTTTAGGGTTTAGGGTTTGGGGTTTGGGGTTTGGTGTTTGGGGTTTAGGGCGTAGGGTTGAGGGTGCCTTGAGCGCAACATCCATGGGGTAGTTATGCCGGAAAATTTGCAAAGCTCGATGGTGTTTACTGAGATGGATCCAATGAAGGGATTGCTTCGACCTCCAGCAAACACAATCTCCATCCCTAATTCTCCTTGCTCTTCACAGCTATCGTCTCATTGTCAGATGCCCGTGGTGCATGACAGACTGACAGCCAACACTAGCCTCCTTGTCATAAAAGGGGTATAGTTCCGACGGCAAGATACGGCAAGCTCGATGAAGATAGTTGAATTCTTGGACTGTGGATATGGTACAAACTGCCTTGGCACGCCAGGGCGGATTCGGACATCGGGTGCAGGGCAAGCCAGACGGGCGAAACCCTAAACCCTAAACCCCAAACCCCTAAACCCTCACCGAAGAGGCACTTCGCCCCCCCTCCTTCGCTGCGCAAGCTGGCGCCACAATGCCGCGGCGCAGGCGCTTCGCGCGCAGGGCCGCGCGGCGCATCTCGGCCAGCTGCTGCACTGCCTTTTGCTGCAGCCTTCTGAGAGGGACTTAGGGTTTAGGGTTTTGGGTTTTGGGTTTAGGGTTGCCAGGGAGAGGAAGGCGCAAGGAGCTGACCAACCCAAGCTCGACTCAGCTATACTGAGCTAGACTTTCTGATGCAAACCGGGCACTGGCACGCCTCCCCCCTCCCCCCAGGCCCTGAGAGGCACCGAAACCGTCTGGGAGGTCTGCGAGGTCTGTGGGATTGTCAGCTGGGAGCAGGTTGGTGTACTAAGTAAGCTTTGCCGGGCAGGGGGCTTTCCTCCAGCATCGAGTGCGGCCGAGGCGAACGCGCGAAGCGCATGCAAGCTATTCCTGAAGTCAGAAGAAAGGAATTCCACGCGAAGAGCCGCTCAATGACCATTGCCAAACCGTGAGGTAAGCTGCCTGGCCTCTCTTGGTAAGTTCGAGGCCCCCTTTGCAGCAACTTTGGGCTGCGGAGCACTACCACACGCCTGAGCCTTTTCAAGGGCATCGAAGTCAAACATCCATGGCTCTCTAGCTGCCAACTCCGTCAGCTATCTGAGCCTGCAATGCTGCGGGGATAGGGAATGAAGGAAATCTGGGGACTCCGCTGTCGGACTATTTAGCATCCCGACCGTTCCTAATGCGAACAGCAAGTTCCACAATCACGAGCCAAAGAACCCTCACCCAGTTGCCACTTTCGGATAGTGGGAATGCATTGGGAGGACAAAGCACATCTGGGGCAGGCGCGTTGTACGGAAGGCCCAGGGGCGGGTCGAAAAACGGGTGCGTCTGCGTCGCAAGGGTATAGGTTGTCCTGAGCATGCGGGGGGCCCTACCATGACAGTACAGTAGCTCGACCCTAAACTTCCTTAAGCCCTAAACCCTAAACCCTAAACTCTCATCATGGCAGCTCAGAGAACTGAATCAAACACACTCCGTCGTCCGTAGCCTCCCAATGGTGCAAACCTCAGGCCGTGGCACACGGGTCCCGTTCACCTGCACATGAGCTTGGGGGTTGGGTGGATTGGGCTGTTCCCCCAATGAACGTAGTGGCTTCTTACACTTTCAAATAGCCACAATGCAGGCCAACGTTGCCCCGTGCTTTTATGTATGGTATGTCTGTATGTATTAATAAAATGTATAAATATAAATATATATATATATACATACATACATGTTTTTGTTTCCCCGCAGGCATAAATGGGGCTCAGGGCTGTTCGTGTCCTGTCGGGGCTCACGCCTCTACCGAAGGCGTTGCCAACTCGGCTCTCCTGGCGCGACAGCATGCGAGGTAGGACCCTTAAAGACCCTTCTTAGCAGCTCCAGTTGGCTTGCAAAGCGTGACTTGGCTCCTTGTGACCCTTCCACTGAGCTCGCTGATCAGCGGTAGAACTTCGAAAAAGAAGTTCAGGCCACACAACACCTGAGAGGGTTTCGGGCTGAGAGCTTTAGGTTTTTTTGGTTTAGGGAATCGAGGCTACCCGAAGCTGCGTAAGCACACACAGCTGCTTAGGTCACGGAGGCAGCCACTGTCTTCTCATGCCAGGCTGCTGCGTAGATGAGGGCATACTTGGCCATTTCGGTCATGCCATCTCGCAGCATGACCCAACCTCGCACTGCGCAAGCACGACATCCTGTCTTGGTACTCTGAAACGTAATCGAGCACGCTACACGGACTGCACAAAGGGCCCCAGATGTGGCCACGGCTAGCCCTAACCATCCTAACCCCTAAACTCTAAACCCGGAACCCCGAAACCCTAAGCCCCACATCCCTGAACCCCACACCGCAAACTGGTCCAAACCTAACCCTAAACCCTAAACCCTAAACCCTAAACCCTAAACCCAACATGCCTTCAACTGAGAACTCCTGGAGATTGAAAGCTCCAGAGAGCTTGGGTTCCCAGCCAAAGCCCAGGAGTAGACCCGTCAGAAGGGCACCGGCCTGTGATGGAAACTGGGGCTAAGGGTATGGGGTATGGGGTGTGGGGTATGGGGTATGGGGTTTGGGGTTTGGGGTTTAGGGTGTAAGGCCAGGCTTAGGGTGTGGGGTTTGGGGTTTAGGGAACGGATTCGAGCTTCCCAACAAGGTAGGACAGTGCCTGATTGCCTAATCGCCTACGGCGAGTCTCTAATTTCCATAAAACCCAGGTGGCCTGCATGGCCCTAAACCCTAAACCCTAAACCCTAAACCCTAAACCCTAAACCCTGAACCCTAAACCCTAAACCCTAAACCCTAAAACTCCTTCTCAGGCCCGGGACCACATCCAGCGCGATGACCTGCAAAATGAAAACCAGCATGAAGCCGGCCATCAGGAGCTTCCATAGCCACCGCTGGTCCTTGATTTTTTTGTTTAGGGTTTAGGGTTTAGGGTTTAGGGTTTCGGGTTTAGGGTTTAGGGTTTGGGGTTTGGGGTTTAGGGTTTAGGTTTTTTGGGCTTTTGGGTTTAGGGTTTAGGGTTTTTTGACCGGAGCAGGCTGTGATTATATGAAGATATACGAAGTAGGGTTTATCTTCCTTGTAACATTCCCATACACCATGGTATATACTATGATTATATATACTATATGATATTCTATGTTATATAGTATATATACACACACTATATTGTATAATCTATTACATACTATATCATCTACGATGATGCACGCTGCGCTGGGCGTGCAAAGTCTGAGTTCGGGGCAAGCACCTCCTGAGGAGGCGGTCCGACATGCATCATGAGCTCCTGCTCTCAGTAGGCACGCGGGGTTTAGGGTTTAGGGTTTAGGGTTTAGGGTTAGGGCTAGGCTAACCCTAAATGCTTAGGGTCATGTGCATAAGGGCAGCTGTGCAACCAGTGTCATTTCCGTTGAGAGGGGCTCAAGTATCAGACAAGCTGCTGGCGACACGAGCATCGCACCAAACCTCGAAGCCGAGACAGTGGAGATTTTTACGGAAACCCTAGTATAGAGGTCGGAATAATTCCTAATAGTATTCCCTTATGGTCCCTTTTTCAATATACCATAATAACCCCCCAACACCCTATCATAAATTACCAAGGCCCCTGTGGGAAGCCCTTAAACCCTCCTTCTGCATCCAAGAAGCCTGAACCGCCACCGACTGTCATGAATCGTTCAGTTGGGCTGACATAGTCTACAGCGCTTTAGGCGGGCATGTACAGCCTTGGGCCTAAAGACTAAAGCGACGCAGGGTTTCTTTGCGCAGGCCGTCAGAAACAGAAGTTCAAAACGACACAACGGGGCGGGCTGTTGCCTTGTTTTTTCACGTTCCCTGCCGCGCAGGCAGATCGGCCCTCACAGACTCAGGCCAGGCACGTGTTGTGCCCACCTGAAGAAAAAGGCCTCCCGAGAGGGGACGGCTTTTAGAGAACCGTCCTTTGGACAGATTCAAGTCCCGGCAAAAGGCCGATGGTCGTTAACAGAGTTGCATGCGATTCCGCAAGCAGGTCTCTTTCAACCTAGCGCTAGAGTATGCGAGGAGTTCATGCGTTCAAGATCTTTCATCCAGACTTCAATAGCAGCTTCGCACTCAAGCCTCCCTCCAAAGGACTCTGCCTTTGTACAAGTTTGAGCCGCGTAAGACTTGCCCCTGCGTAACAGACTTCACTTCATCGACTGCAGCGGCTGCTAAGTCAGGGCAGGTCCACGGGGGACATGCCCTACAACCCTAAACCCTAAACCCTAAACCCTAAACCCTAAACCGCGGCTAGTGGGCGGATTGCTAGCGGGCGGGGGCAAGCACGGCGCAGTCTCAGCAGCAGCACGGGGAAGAGAAGCTTGCGTTCACAAATATCGGCTCTGCACTCTGAACTCCACAATTCTCACTAGAAGATTGCCATCTCAACATGGCTCAAGGGGGCAGAACCTGGGTCTTGAAAAGAGGGGGCTTTAGGGTTTAGGGTTGTAGGGTTTATGTTTATACGTTTTAGGTTTATCGGGTTATAGGGTTTATGGCTTAATTAAGGCACGTCGCACATCGCAAACAAGTTGGAAGCTGCCAAAAGCAAAGCCAAGTGGCCAATGGTTCAGCTGTAAACTGGTCGCCTCCTCATCGCACCTCTCTTCACGCGCAGCTAAACCCTAAACCCTAAACCCTAAACCCTAAACCCTAAACCCTAAACCCTGAACCCTAAACCCTAAACCCTAAAACCCTCAACCCTAAACCCTGAACCCTAAACATGCTGCGGCTTGACTCAAAGGTACTGTCCGTCTGTTCTCCAGCCCCCTCCACATCCCTAACCCTAAGCATCCCCACCTTCGACAAACCCAAACTTGCTCTTCTTAGGGTTCGGGGTTCAGGGTTTAGGGTTTAGGGTTGCTCCAAAACCCGTTGTAGGATTCCTTCTTTGGTAGCTGGCCTACCAGTAAAAGTAGACCCCAAGCCCCCCCTTGTCAGTGCCCGCCGCCTGGTGGCTCTCGCGCGCCTCGAGCAGATGCCTTCTCTTTCAGGGCTCGATGGGGTTCGTAGGGCTTAGGGTTTAGGGTTTAGGGTTGAGGGTTTGAGGGTTTGAGGGTTTGAGGGTTTGAGGGTTTGAGGGTTTGAGGGTTTGAGGGTTTGAGGGTTTGAGGGTTTGAGGGTTTGAGGGTTTGAGGGTTCGCAGGGCTTCTTTAGCGTTCAGGGGTTCACAGTGTGATACCAAATAGAGCCTCGAAGCCTTACAAATACTCTGTGAGACCTATATGGTCATTTCTCTGAATTACTATTCTAAGGCGGCCCCTAGTATTTTGGGCATCCGAAAAAGGGACCATCATTTTGAGAACTGACCAAATACCCCCTAGAGGGCCCCTCCCCCCCATGAATGGTTGTTAGCGTGCACGCTTAGGGTTTAGAGTTTTCGGGTTTTTGGGTCTTGGGGTCTTCGCTCGAAGCGCTGTGAAGTATGAAGCAAGCCAATGGAAAAAGCCATTGGCCCACAAGCCCTGTATATCCTGACCCTAAAGCCCCCAAACTCTAAACCCCTAAAGCCCCTGAAGCCCCCCAAACCTGAAACCCTAAACCCCCCCAACCCCCAAACAACAGTACGAAAGCCCTGAAAGACTCAAAACCTACAGCCCAGAAGCTCTACAAACCCAAAAGCGTAAACCCCCTCTAAGCCCTGCAAGCCCTATAAACCCAAAACCCAAACCCTACAAACCATAAATAACTATTTCTGGTAAGCCTAAACACTTTAAGTCCTGGAATGCCTATCAGGCCTACGAAGCCCCCCTGAAAACCACAAACCCTGCAAACCATCAAACCTAAAAGGGTTTAGGGTTTAGGGTTTAGGGTTTAGGGTTTAGGGTTTAGGGTTTAGGGCCTGAAAGCCCCTAAAACCCCACAACTGTCAAAACCATCTGGAGCCCGCAATCCCCAAAACACACAACCTGTAAAACCCTCAACCCGAAACCCTCCAAAATGCTAAGGCGGTCAAGACCCCTAAAACCGCCCAAAAACCCAAAACCTCCAAGGTCGTTTTAAAGCCCCAAAGCCCTAAGTAGGAGAACCCCAATAGTGCGGGCCCCTTGAAGTCTACTTGCCACCTTGTTGTCAAATATAAACCCTAAACCCTAAACCCTAAACCCGAAACCCTAAGCCCTAAACCCTAAACCCTAAACCTAAACCCTAAACCCTAAACCCTTAACCCTAAACCCTAAACCCTATCCTCGGAAGCCCTCACCCGTGGCAGGCGAAGTGCAGGTTGCCGCGGTGAGGGCTTGGCCAGGTGCGACAAAACCAGGCCGGGCCCGGCTGGCCCGGGCTTGCTTGGCACCTGAAAGGGGTTTAGGGTTTAGGGTTTATAGGGTTTAGGGCTTAGGGCTTAGGGCTTAGGGCTTAGGGCTTAGGGCTTAGGGCTTAGGGCTTAGGGCTTAGGGCTTAGGGCTTAGGGCTTAGGGCTTAGGGCTTAGGGCTTAGGGCTTAGGGTTTAGGGTTTAGGGTTTATGCGGATTTGGGTGGGTTTAGGGCGTTTAGGGTTTCGAAGGGTGGGGGGCGGGGGGGCTTGTTCTCAAATACAGCAGGTGCAGTAGTGGGGTGCCTGTGTTGTGGTGGAGGCTTCTGTTCCTTTCTGTGTAGGGGGCTTACTGTTTCATATCGCCAGTCCTTTGTTGGCCAGAAGGGCTGTTATCTATGTGATTTGCGGGAGGGCTTCTGTTGCTTGCAGGGGTGAAAAGTTTGGGGGGGGGGGGGGGGGGGGGGGTGCCACGGGAAAGGATCTCGGAAGGAGAACTCCCGATGTTGGTGCGTGGGTGCCTTGATGATGCTGCCACGCCGGGAGGTAGAAATCGGAGGCGGCTTGCGCATCTCGAGGACAGGTCCGTAGCGCGTCATCTCTTCCAGGTCCTCGTCCGGCTCCGGGCTGGGACTCGCCAGGATGTCTCCTGGCAAATGCGCTCTATTCTGCAGTATGATATTTTGCTCTGCATTATTCCCCAAACAGTGTGCCAACACTTAGGGGGGGTGGGGTAGATTGGTGTGTGTGTGTGTGTGCGCGCGCACGGCGCCCGCGAAACGCTCGTGAAACGCCGGGGAAAACATTCCTCGAGCGGTGGTCGCATTATGCACGAAAATCGTACTGTCCCTCAGCACAGGTGGTGATGCGGATTTCTCGGGGCCTCGAAACATCGCAAATTACATGCTTCCGGCTTCGTGGATGTTGTCGAATCGCGCTCTCGCCTGGGCCACGTGCGCATTTTTTGGCTAAACCCTAAACCCTAAACCCTAAACCCTAAACCCCAAACCCTGGTGTTTCGGGGTGGACATCGTGCTCTCTAGGTCCCGCACTCTTTTCGCGTCCTGTAACCATGGCAAGCGATTGGATTCCTGCGCTTTGGGCGGCAAGACTACAGGGATTGGCAATTCGCGATGTTGGAAATTCTTGCGACAAAGGCATTCAAAACTCGAGCTTTAAGCGTTTGCAAACAGTAAATGGAACAACCTTGGACCCAAAACATTGCGAAGCAAAACCTCATTTCATGTATGCGTGTCTCTCAACCCTTGTGCGGTAACCCCCGTGGGATTGTCATCGTTCCTGTTACCAATCCTTGTAAATTCTTGTACATTTTTGTATTTTGTGATGTCGTATATACTGCTATGCAGATTTATATACATGTTTTCATACTTCGTTTTCGTTGTTTATACAATGTTGTCTTTCATTTACCTTCTCATATATTAACAGACGCTATTGTATGTATTTACATTCTGTAGATTGTTACAGATGATTATATACTAGTACATATCACTATATGCGATCATATGATATTGTTAACTATGTCATATTGCACAATCTTGTACCGTGTTCAACTCTCATTATATGCTGTAGATATTATTGCATTGCTGTACGCACATACCCCGAAACTCCCATCAGAACACGAGAGATCACATCGCAACGTCCACTATCAGTCGACACACTGCTCGCACGAATGCCCGTTTCACCGGGGGCAGACTGCCCTGAGATCCCACACTCCCACACCCCTAACGACCCGACCCGATACCCACCCTAAGCCCTAAGCCCTAAGCCCTAAGCCCTAAGCCCTAAGCCCTAAACCCTAAACCCTGCAATGTGGCCGGCTCCACCGATCAGCTCCTCCTCCAAGGCCCCCACAGATGGCAACAACCGAGCGGCCTCGCTGGCAGTCGGCTTGGCCTTGCTGGCGGCCGGCTTGGCCCCGCTGGCTGTCTGCACGGCCTGGGGGGGTTCCCTAAAATCAGATACCGTCCCCTTTCTGCCCCTTTACTGCTTTCTGGGTTCGTGCCGGGACCCGGGCTAAGGTTAAATCATGGGCCTCCTCCTCGATCGACGCTATGGACAGCTTCGCCGCGGAGCTTTGGTACGAAAGAGTGGTGCCTGAGGCATTCTTGAGGAGATCCGTCTGCGAGGCGTACGGCGAGAAACCGACCTTGCCAAGATTTGTACGTCCGGCCCCAGACAACAAAGCTCATGTCCTACTATTTGCTTAAGAACTCCAAAAAAAATCATCCTATGTTGCCCTTAATAATTAAGGAAAATTTTCTTCGGGGTTCTTCAGCAATTTGCAATTTAGTAGTATCCTGTCACCAGATTCCTACTCCTGCGTTTGGGCTTTGGGCGGTGAGTTGTTCCACGTTAGATACCGTTTCTCACAGAGCCCCAAAAAAACAAAACGGGACTCTAGTCTACAACAACGCCCCATGTCATCACCCTAAACCCTAAAGCCTAAAGCCTAAATCCTAAAGCCTAAAGCCTGAACCCTAAACCTTAAACCCTAAACCTCAAACCCTAACCCTAAACCCTGCAGCTCGGGGGCTGTCGAGTTGACAGAGTCACTTTTGGCAGAGAAGAAGGTGATGCGGGAGCTATCGTGAGACAGCCAGGCAGTCGTCTGCGTTTTGGCAGAAAGCAATCTCGCCTCTGACTTTCCTTGGCTGGGGGGAGTTCCCCTGGCCCCAAGAGGTGAGATTCTATGTTGGGGTCCTTACTCGTTGTTGTCAAGGGTACCGAATCATGTACCGTCACACCTCGAAATCAAGACAATGTAACACGCCCGTCGTGCCCAGAATCGGAAATGGGACAAATCGGGCTCGTCCAAGGACCGAACCGCCTGGCCAGATGCAGAAAAACCTTGTGCACTTGCAAGCCCTCTCTCAAACACCCCTCCCTTCCCAAAAAAGAAGCCTAAACCCAAAACCCGAAATGCTAAATCCCAAGAACTAAACCCTAAACCCGTAAAACCTAAACCCCTGACCTCTAAATAAGCCCCCAACCCCCCAAACCTCCCCAAAGAAATGTTGGCGCACCTGGATTGCAGCAGCCGTCAGGGGGAGGCTTGCCCCATTGTCCAGGGCGGCAAAGTCCTGGCTTGGGGCTTCTAGGAGCCTAGGGTTTACCAGGGTTCAGAGTGCTGAATAGGGCTTACTAGGGTTGAGGGGTTAGTGGGGTTTGCGTTCCCGGGTAAAAGCATCTAGCTTTTCAAGCCGTATGGGCCGTTGGGGTTCTGAGTTTTGGGTCCAGAGACTGGTCTTCACGGTCAGCGTGACAAGTTGACTATTCGAGCACCATGCCTTTGCCCACACGACAATAGAAGAACAGCACCACAAGAAGTTAAACAAAGTGAGCACGCAAGCGCGTGAAATTGCCAGCTTCAGATCCTAAAAGGGTGAGGGCTATCGGACAGTTTGTCGGGCAGTTGGGGTTGATTCTAGCGAGCTTACCCTAAACCCCAAACCCCAAACCCCAAACCCCAAACCCTAAACCCGATCATAAACCCTAAAACTGTAAACCTTCTCTCTCCAAGGTCCACGTAAGGCCAGGCGGCTGGGCGCAGGAGGAGCACTGAGTCGTGCTTCGGGGCTTCCAGGGGCGCTTTCACGTCGCCGTCCTCGACGGGCACCGCGGGCGCCTCAAGAACTTCAAGACTGTCTGGGGTCAGGGTTTAGGGTTTAGGGTTTAGGGTTTAGGGTTTAGGGTTTAGGGCTTAGGGTTTAGGATTTAGGGTTTAGGGTTCAGGGTTTAGGCCTTAGGGCTTAGGGCCTAGGGTTTAGGGTTGAAATTACCATTACAATGGGGCCCCCAGTAGTGGCCCCTTAATTGGGGAGCCCTTATATACCCGTTATCAGAATGTACGGGACCATTAAGGTGGGAGACCCCCCGGCCCCCCCGCAAGGTCTCACACGAGGGCCCTGGCCTTCTGTAATAGGAATCCCTGCTTCGTTGCTCGGTTCGACTCTCCTTCCTGTTTCGGTGCCCTAAACCCTGGTTAAGCCTTAATCCCTGGACCCTGAACCCTAAACCCTAAACACTAAACCCTAAACCCTAAACCCTAAACCCCAAACCCTAAACCCTAAACCCCATTGCAACGGCTGCTGTGACAGTTGCCTCGTGGAGCGTCTGCACGACCGGGCTCTCCTCGACGGTCTTCCGCGCGGCTTCGTGGTCCGCCTTCGCCGCTCTAGGCCTGCGCTTCGGCAGCGCAGGGGCGGCGATGCCTGAGATGTGAATTCGGGTTTAAGGTTTTAGGGTTTAGGGTTTAGGGTTTGGGGTTTAGGGTTTGGGGTTTGGGGTTATCTACCTAAAGATTTGCAAGTCCAAAACGTGATGCCGCTGCCGAGTCGCTCTCTGGAGGTGGCGGCTCTGGCTCTGTGAGCTCCCGGACTATCTCTATCTTGGCGGGCGGTCTTTTCTGAGTCTCGCCTTGGACGGCGACGTTTCAAGCAGGCCCTTGAAAGAACAAAAACATCCAGATCGCAGACTGTCCACGGGCAAGGGGAAGGCGCTCATTTTCATGTTGCCACACCCGAAATCTTGAGAAGTGAGACCAAAAATATCTGCAAAGGCCTCAATCCTGAACTTCCTGAACCTTGTAGTCGCGAACTCTGAACCCCGCACCCTAGACCCTAACCCTAAACCCTAAACCCCAAACCCTAGCCTTAACCCTAAACCCTAAACCCCAAACCCTAAACCCTAAACCCGAAACCTTGGCCGAGGGGCTGTCACGCCGGGGAGCCGGGGAGGCCACCAGCTCCGCACGCAGGCGCACGACGGCTTGGACGGCGAGGGCACCTCACACGACGGCCATCTTGTTTGACCTATGTAATGTGCAACATCTACAAAAAATAAATAAATATATATATATATATATATATATTTATTTATTTATTTATTCATTTATATATATATATATGTATATATATATACATATATATATATATACATACAGATACAACAATATACACAATTGCGTATCATGCTAGATGCATACTATAACATCTAATTCCAGGATGTGACGAGTTGGAACTGGCAACGTGCCGCCCCCCCCCCCCCCCCCCCCCCCCCCCCCCCCCCCGGCTTTTCCTGGTCCCTTGCAGCCAAAGTCACCCAGCTTCCACCGCTGCCTGGCAGTCATCCTCGAAAAGGCGCTGGAGTACTCGAGGTCTAGGATGTACGACCGCCCTAAACGCCGCACCCATAGGTTGCAGGGCTCGAAAGTTCTGGGCTTGAAAGATGTGTAGGGTCAAGGATGAACAGTTGGAGCTGCTTGATTATAAAAAAACCTCTACTAGGGGGGCCATCTGACCCAAGAAGTGACCGCAGCTTCGGGAGCTGACCTGGTCAATGTGTTAGGGATTTAGGGGTTAGGGTTTAGGGTTTAGGGTTTAGGGTTTAGGGTTTAGGGTTTAGGGTTTAGGGTTCGACGTTGAGTCTTGCCCTGGGCAACTGCTTAGCTTCCCACAAGCATCGAGCCTTCGCAAAGCGCTTTTTTGTTTACGGCACCTGTAGACACTTTCATGACAGAAATCATGGAGTATTAGCATCATGGAATGATAGAATAACAGAATAACCAAGGAGTAGAATTTTGAGCTCCAAGTTCATGGTGCCGCTTCTTCATAACGTCTTTGCTCTCAACCTTACTGGGATGGAGGAGGCCCTCGGAAGTTATAACATCGAACCCTAAACCCTAAAGCCTAAACCCTAAACCCTAAACCCTAAGTTATAATAAAAAAAGAGAGAGAAACGAACGGCTGACGCCACATCCCTGAGCCTCGTGGCATGCACGTGTTACGCTACATTCTTGTGTCATTTTGTTATGTCATACTGCCTTAACCCTAAACCCTAAACCCTAAACCCTTCTATATGTTCTAAAAACTCTCCTGCCAAGCATCTCCTTGCTTGCGTCTGCCTCCTCCTCCTCCGCCTCCGCCGTGGCCTGCAGGTTGGCCGGAGCTTCTGCAGACTCGCCTGGGCTTGGGGTTGAATCTTGCCACCGGCTTAGTAGGGTTTTAGGGTTCAGGGTTCAGGGTTGAGGGTTGAGGGTTTAGGGTTTAGGGGCGTCCAAAGTCAGAGCCGCTGGCAGGATCCAAAAGCAACACAGCGATTCCAATTCTCTTGGAGCACAACCGCATGGAACCAGATAAGTCGAGGTTCCTGAAGGCTTGCCCTAAACCTAAAGCCCTAAGACCCCAAGTTTTCGGTGACTCAGAGATGGCAGGGAGATCTTATTTAGGGATTTCACCAACCTTGCTCGGCTGCACTGTGGTGTAAGCAAGCGCCCAGACTCCAAGACCATCGAAAACAGACACTGCTCGCCGACCCACCACTATCAGTAATCTCATTTTTTCGTTGGCTAGTATTTCCTTCGATTGCTCGTGCCATTACTATCCTTCTTGCTGGTACCAGTTACCATCCTTCTTGCTGTTTCCATGACCCCTTATGATCGGCCAGGGCATGCCAAGGCGCGCTCGTCTCGGGGCTGCACAGGGGCATCGCCATCTTGCATGCGAAGGGACCTGCCTCCAGCAGCCCGGGTGTGCGCTTCAGACGCAGGCCATCAGGGAAGGTGGGGGGAACTCGGATTTCAAGGCTTCGGGTCTGAAATCAGAGCTGTGCCTTGGGATGGCTCTTGCTGTAGGTTCTTCCACGTTCACGAGATGTGAGCTGCCGAGGCACTGTGCACAAGGCCCTTCTTGCCCAGGGATGTGGCGAAATACCGCTTCCCAATCGCCGTCTTGGAAGTGTTGCGGGCCAGCGAGAAGCTGTCCTTGCCTCCTGACATAACGGACATGGCGCAGAGAGACGTGCATTCAAAAAGGGCGATGCATCCACACATCTCTGCACTAGGGAGCCTGAGTCGCGCTGCCCTACTTGGAGGTTCATGGGTACTTATAACCCAATTATAACTGTGCTTATTTTCCGCCCCGACGTCCTGTAAGTCCTCTAAGCAGGTTCGAAGCAAACGTATCATTGGGGTTTAGAAGTACCCCATGAACCTCCAAAAGTAGCCCTAGACCCAGGAAACGCTAAACCCTAAACCCTAAACCCTAAACCCTAAACCCTAAACCCTAAACCCTAAACCCTAAACCCTAAACCCTAAACCCTAAACCCTAAACTCTAAACCCTAAACCCTAAACCCTAAACCCTAAACCCTGAACCCTAGGCTCCTTCTGGTCCCTTCTTCTTCGTCTTGGTCTTGACCTCCGGGATCACCTCCTCGCTGGTCTCATCCAGGGTCGCCTCATGGACAGCCTGCGCCTCGCTTTCAGGGTTTAGGGTTTAGGGCTTAGGGCTTAGGGTTTAAGGTTTGGGGTTTAGGGTTTGGGGTTTGGGGTTTGGGGTTTAGGGTTTAGCCCTAAACCCAAAAAGCTGACTCATAACTAGGACCCTGAGAAGCTGACCTGCTCAGGGCCCACCTGGTGGCCCGAAACAAGGGGCTACTTGCCCCCGACCCGCCCCCCCGCCGGCCCCCGAAAAAAGGAAGCAGTATGAGAGTCCCCGAACTAAACCCGAAGGCCCAGACTTCAAGCCCCAAACCTTAAACCTATGCCCCTAAACCCTAAACCCTGAACCCTGAACCCTAAACCCTAAACCCTAGACCCTAGACCCTAAACCCAAAACCCCCTCTCAAGACCGAGGCTCTTCGTCTTCGGGCATGACAGGGTCCGCGGGTGCGGCCACACTTTCGGAGGCCCTGGAGGTGGCGAGAGGCGGGAATCGGCGGGAAAGCCCTCCGACAAAGTATGATAAGCAGGCATACACATACAAATATATGTATATATATATATATGTACATGTGTATATATATATATGCTCACGCCCCCCCCCCATGATCCACGTTTCTGCTTCGAAACAGATGGATCTTGGGAGGAGAGGGGGCCATGAGCTAGCGATAAAAACACCGACAGGGCCGACAAAAACCTATATCATTTCAAGTCAGGCAGGTTATTTACATCAACAAGGTAGAGAAATACCCGAAAAAACCATGTTTTTTTTTAGAAAACTCGAGCCGGCTCGAATTTTCCAAAAAAAACTGACACAGTAGGTCGCCCAAACACGAGCAGGCTCGAATTTTCCAAAAAAAACCTAAATTTGAGGATCTATGGCTCCAGCAGCCGGGTAGATCCTGAAAGTTCGGTTTTTTTTGGAAAATTCGAGCCTGCTCGAGTTTCTGGGACCTAAAGCTTCAAGAATTTTAGGAAAATTCGAGCCGGCTCGAATTTTCCAAAAAAAACTGACACAGTAGGTCGCCCAAACACGAGCAGGCTCGAATTTTCCAAAAAAAACCTAAATTTCAGGATCTATGGCTCCAGCAGCCGGGTAGATCCTGAAAGTTCGGTTTTTTTTGGAAAATTCGAGCCTGCTCGAGTTTCTGGGACCTAAAGCTTCAAGAATTTTAGGAAAATTCGAGCCGGCTCGAATTTTCCAAAAAAAACTGACACAGTAGGTCGCCCAAACACGAGCAGGCTCGAATTTTCCAAAAAAAACCTAAATTTCAGGATCTATGGCTCCAGCAGCCGGGTAGATCCTGAAAGTTCGGCTTTTTTTGGAAAATTCGAGCCTGCTCGAGTTTCTGGGACCTAAAGCTTCAAGAATTTTAGGAAAATTCGAGCCGGCTCGAATTTTCCAAAAAAAATTGACACAGTAGGTCGCCCAAACACGAGCAGGCTCGAATTTTCCAAAAAAAACCTAAATTTCAGGATCTATGGCTCCAGCAGCCCGGTAGATCCTGAAAGTTAGGTTTTTTTTGGAAAATTCGAGCCTGCTCGAGTTTTCGAGACCTGGAGCTTCAAGAATTTTCGGAAAATTCGAGCCGGCTCGAATTTTCTAAAAAAATGCTGAAACCATAGCTGTATGACCCCAAGGCCTCATAGATGACATAATTTAGGTTTTTTTTGGAAAATTCGAGCCTGCTCGAGTTTTCGAGACCTGGAGCTTCAAGAATTTTCGGAAAATTCGAGCCGGCTCGAATTTTCTAAAAATATGCTGAAACCACGGCTGTGTTACCCCAAGGCCTCATAGATGACATAATTTAGGTTTTTTTTGGAAAATTCGAGCCTGCTCGGGTTTTCGAGACCTGGAGCTTCAAGAATTTTCGGAAAATTCGAGCCGGCTCGAGTTGTCCCTATTTCTCTTGAAATTCTGACTGTGTGAGGCTTCATATATCACATTGTCTAGGAACGATGGATTTGGATACATGAGTGTTGGATTTGGGTAATACATGTGTGTTAGTATAAGGGGCGTCTCTGCGACTCCACAGTATGATTTTGTGTTTCCACTGCAGCTTTCTGTTTCAACAGTTGGTTATCGTCCCTCTTCTCGTTGCGCTCATTCCTTGGGAGATGATCCGAAACGGGGCAGACATTTCCTTGCAAGATGCTCTGGATGCTACGAACTCCTTAGTTCTACGATCTCTCAAGAAGCCGAACATTGTCGATGAACCCGCTGGGCTTGTGGCGCCAGTGCATCTCCCCATCGAGACATTCACGGACAAGACTTCGAAACTCAAGCATGCCTTCGACGTCGTAGGTGAGATTGATTTTGGACATGAGCTCAAAGAAAAAGTACGCCATTGTGTCCGCACAAACACTCTCCATCTACTACCAGAACCGTTCGGCTTCAAGAAGCTTCCAGATATCACCGTTGAGCTACAACTTGCAGTCGTCCCTACCCGGAACCCCAACAAGTTCTTCTTGGTGAAACATTTCATCACAGAGCAGCAAGTGAAGGCGTCATACTTGCGAGATCTCTGCTTCGGTACACCCAACATCGTGAGTTGGGGTGGGTCGGCTAAGAATCTCCGGAAGGCCTTGCACTACATGTTCGAAAAAATGGGGGGGTATCAGGTCGTGCGGTACTCCTTGCAAGCCTCGGCTGTTGCTTCCGAGTCAAAGAATGTTTTCTTTCACAGCCTCTCTGAGGAGGACATTGATGCAGGCTTCGATTTCATTGAGAGGGAAGGTCCTCGAACCCATCACTGCAACACCCAACTTAGGTGGATATGCAAACAGCTGAGCCAGGAAGACAGTCCCATTTCTCAGTGGCCAGAACGTCTCATCAAAGAAGCACTTCGAAACCTTATGTCTGACGGTGTTCTCGCCTTACCAGTTACTGATTACCCTCTCACCCTCGTGGATGTGAACCCTGTCATTCTGAACATCTTAGAGAAGATCTTCCCCCTGTTTAATGACAAGGCTGTCGGCATGCACGGTCTCCCCAATGTCGGCAAGACGCCACTCGCAAGAATCATTGCCATGGCCATGTCAAGGTACTGGGTCGAGAGGTTGAAGTCCAAGTACAAGCCAGCCTACCGGGAGTCCTCTGAATTCGACTTTTTCAGGGGCGAGCAGGGTAGGAAGGAACGCCCCGACATTTTTGATGACGGGACTTTGCCTGAGCAACCGATGCGAAAACTCAAGGGTTTCTGTGATGTTGGCAACACAGTCCTTACGAAGGAGAGATGGGGCGCTGCGAAATTTCCTCAGGGTCAGCTTCGCATCTACATCTCAAACGACATTGAGATGACAGCAGAACCCCTTTCCAGGTCATCAGGCAACACCATCAGTCACAAGGAGTTACTCGCCATGCTCGAGCCATCATGGATGAAGGGAACAGGCCTCCCAGACATCCTTGCCGTGCTCAAGCGAACTTGCATTCTCATCATCACGTCAAAGTACTTTTACTGTCGCCCAGCTACGGATAAGGAGGTTTCGGTCCCTCGAATTCCTTTGGATGAATCAGCTCCTCTCCTACGTGAGTCCAGTGGCCCAAAGTACATGCAGTATCGACGGGGAGACAGATTTCCTCCCGATGAGTCTCATCTTGCATGGGAACGAGCATGGATGCACAGTGTCATGGACAACAACAGCATGAACATGCCAGAGACGCCGTACGAAATTCGTGGGGGAGGGCTTTTCGGTGATGCTCCTGATGCCAATCGTCTTCAACTTGTCGTACCAGCCATTGTGAAGAAGGACTTTTAAACCGTGTTATAACGAGGGAAAGCATAATAAGAGTAAAGCACATGTCCACCTCACCCCTTCCAAGCACATTACCCCCCGATAAGCAAGACCTGGAATCATGCATTTTCAGTCGAAACTCCACATCCCTTCCAAGCACATCACCCCCCCGATAAGCAAAACCTGGAATCATGCATGTTAGATGTGTTTTGCATTTTTTTATAAGGAAACTCACCAAATAGAAGCCTCTGCGAAGCTAACGCAATCTTAACAAAATGGGGACCATGTCTTCTTGTTTCAGCTCATTCGATAGGAGCCACGAGCGTTTCCCCGGTCATTGTCATTGGGTCCAAACACAATTGTGGATTTGGACAACACTCCCCCAAAGAAGAAGGTGAAATCGGAAAGCTTGCTGGACGTGAAGAGCGAGCCCAAGACATCAAGTCCATTGCCTTGTCAGTACGAACTCATTGACCTAGTGTCCGATGATGAGAAGCCCATGTCTCCATCCTCTCCATGCACAGATCTCCCAGCACATCCCGCGGAGCCTACAGGATACTCACCTACCGCCGCATGGTCCCAGTACCCAGAGAATCCAGAGTTTTCGGGTCTTGATGATGGTGATGAGATGGACGTTGCTGAGGACTAGACTGGCATACCGAGTGAGAGCACAGAGGCTATCATGACAGCATAGAGGGCACCACACGAGCAATTATGTTGTAACGCCCGAAAATATAACAAAGTGCGAATATGTCTATTCATTTTGAACGACGTCGTTTTGAAACTACATTGTATGTTTTAATCATCAGTGTAGACAATCGTACATGATAGGGTGCCCAGATTTTGACAGAGACCCGGCCGGCTCTATGAACAAAGTTGCACATTTGAGTTTCTTGAGTTTGTTGCTTCAGTGAGGCAGCGTGGAGCAGCAACCTCATGAACACTAAGACGTTCGTCTGTGTATCTCAAGCTGTTTGTATGTGCGTAGGTTTCATCACAAGTTTTGTTTTCACTCCAGAAGACCGATGCCAAAGAAGGTTCGGAAATCCATGAAAAGAGCCGCGCCGTACTGGCCAGAGCCCAAAAGGGGAAAACGTCGCGTGCAAAGGAAGCCGTCCAGCAAGCCGTTCGTCAAGGTGCCCTATGTGCGACACGGGTGTGTAAAACCTTTGGTGCGAGTGGCAAACCAGAGGTGGGGGACATCAATCCAAAGCATTATGTCACTCAGAGGTATTCGACTCATCAACATGCTCAAGAAGAAAGACATCTTGCCGGAGTGGAAGGGGAAGCTGTGTCCTAGGTGTGGCGTGGGCAAAATGGGACCATTGAAGTACAACACGGCCAACAAGACCTGGACACACAGGTGCAACCACTACAAGTGCCACAAGAATCTTCAGCCTCACGATTTCCACCCGATTTTCTATATGGGGGCAGGGAACTCACATAGCCCTCTTCACGTCCAGGCATCTATCCTCTTGTGTGCTACAGCCGGTGTCAAGGAAGTCTCCACCCATCTCATCCTCGACACGTCAAAGAAGCCAGTAGAAACCATTTACAAGAACCTTGAGACAGCTAGGAGCCGGTACGTGAATGCAAAAGAGAAGGACATCACGTATGGAGATTGGCATGATGTCGAAGTCGATGAGGTGGATGTGGGAAAATTTGTGGACCCGTCCATCCAAGATGCGAAGAACACCACGTGGGAACAGTGGGGTGGAATGGTAGAACGGGGAAATCCTTCGTCCCTACGTCTTTTTCGGTTGAACCCGAAGAAAACAAAGCAATCAGCCCCAGGGCCAGGTCCGATCAGGAAGTGTGACTGGGTACCTGTGGCCAAGAAGTATCTCAAGAACATGAACGTGGTGCTTCATTCGGATGGTGCCCGCGCGTACACCATGAAATTCCCAGGAATCATCCACTGCAATGTCGTGCACAAGAAAAAGAGGAAAATCGTCAAGGGCAAGGACGGAAGGTTAACAAACGGGAGAAAGCATGAATCTTTTAATTTTGTTATTTTCTTTTTGTATCTGTGCAGGCAGTGTGGGTCCGACCTCATTTCACCAAGAACTACACGATCACCATACCGGGCAAGGGCAAGACGGTAGTGAAGAGTGGCACGCAAGTCATCGACCGGTTTTGGGGATTCTTGAGGAGTCATTTGAAATATGTTTCCCGTGTCCCAGGCAATGATGCGATGACCAGGAAGATCAGAAGTGCTCAGTTTGAATACTGGCACAGGCATCAAAACATGTGGGAGGTTACAGGAAAGATGCTTCGCTTCCTACACGACAGTCGCTAAAGTTGCCATACACAGCTTGGCTTTGCATAGCAGACGCTGTCATCGTGCCACAGGCGTGAGGAAAAGAAATCATGCTATAAGTTCAGGTATGTGTCTGTTTGAGTGAGTAAGTTATTGAGTGACAAAACGAATAACTGAGATTCTCAAACCACAGAAAACCAAATCCAGAAACGGATTCTGTTTGTAGATTTCTGTTGTTTAAAAGTATAGATAATGATTAGCAAATTGTAGCTTCAGACATGGCAAGACACGAAAGTATCGTAAATATCGGTGTTTATTCACTACAACCATATGTGTAAGTAAGCACAGATGCAGAAGGGCAAGCAAGAAAAGGACAAGTATGGATCATGGGGGGGGGGGGGTGTGACCATATATATATACATATATATATATATATATGCATATACATATATGTATATATATATACATATATATGTATATGTGTATATGTATATATACATATACATATATATATATACACACCACACATATTTGTTTTTGCAACGCGCAGGCGCGCAGGGGCTGCGTGCGGTCCAGGCTACTTACGCTTGCAGCTGTACAGAACGAAAAGGAGAGATTTTGTTTAATGACCTTGCAACGCTATTGAGTGTAAGACTGACTTGTTCGGGAAGAACTTGTCGTGATTCAGGATGTTTGTGTCTTTTGTATTGTGTGTGAAGCAGCTTCTTCTTATATATATATATATATATTCATATGCATGTACATATGCATATACATATTCGTATTGTATGTGTGTATGTATGTATGTATGTATGTATGTATGTATGTATGTATGTATGTATGTATGTATGTATGTATGTATGTATGTATGTATGTATGTATGTATGTATGTCAGGTATTGTATGGTACTGTATGGCATTGCATTGTATTGTATTGTATGTCTACCCATATACACGGGCATAATCGTGCATACCACAGAAAAGGCGAGATTGAATTCAGCAGACGTGCCTATTATGTATTGCAGTTCTCCGGACATGGGCGGAAACCCAGCCTGCTCCCTGCAAACCGAAAGGGTTTCGGGTTCAGGGCAACTCCTGGATCGTCCCGCTCCCAAACCCAGAGAAAAGGGGACCCATGCACCAAAAAGCCCAAAGCTTGCGGGCGCATTGCCCAGAAAAGGGAGATCTGGGGAGGGCCTGTAAGGGTAAAGGGCTCCGGGTAGAGGAAGCACATATATCGGGGAGTTGATAGGGGACCCAGAATTGAGAGTTAAAGGCTACGAACCAGAAGGATGCTCTAAGGCCAGTCCTACTTCATACCTTAGTGAGGATCAGAAATGATCAAACTTCGGATGGATAGGATAGATGGATAAACCCTAGACCCCAGAACCCTAAACCCCGAATGCCCCTCAACTTCAATGCCCTAAACCCCAAAACCATCCAAAACCTAAACTTCCATGCCCTAAACCCTAAACCCTCAACCCTAAACCTGAACCTAAGAAAATCCCCGCAGCCCACCATGGCCTGGAGGCTTTCCGCACGTGGTTGGCCTCCTCTCGGCTTCCGACTGCTGGGTGTTGTTTGGGGTTTCGGGTTTAGGGTTTAGGGTTTAGGGTTTAGGGTTTAGGGTTTAGGGTTTAGGGTTTAGGGTTTAGGGTTTAGGGTTTAGGGTTTAGGGTTTAGGGTTTAGGGGGGGATGTCCGGGGCTGCGCATGTTCAAGGTTCATGGATCTTTCGAAGTGGTCATCCTTCAGGTGTTCGTGTTCGTAACGCAGCGGCCTGGTACATCATGCAGGCCACAGCAGAATGGGAAGACGGCAGGAAAAGGTCAGTGAACCTTGAAGTAGGCCTTTCTGTTAGAGGGCTTATGCCACTTGGGTTTAGGGTTTAGGGTTTAGGGTTCAGGGTTTAGGGTTTAAGGTTTAGGGTTCAGGGTGTAGGGTTTAGGGTGTGGATGGAACTCTGTCTTGCAGAGGCTCTTTCACATCACGCATTGAAGTGGTGATTCCAGCGGGCTCACGAACCAAAACACAAGCTAGTGAGGATCCGACGAACAATCCACCGGCGAATTCGCTGCCCCAGAGGGTCCTCCCGGGCCGCGGGGTGCTTCGGCCTGGAGCAGATTCCACACAGAATGTCTTCAAGATATCTCGCAGGTGGAAACACGGAAGTCTTTGAGAAACTCTACTACAGTCCAACCGTGCCTGGATTTGGATTGCGGACTGACACCAGGTCCTGCCTGACATCACATCCGTGGATCTAAGAGGTCAAGAGTTTCGCACGGCTCAAGCAATAATAATGATACCAATAATAATAAGAATACTAATGAATTAGAGTAACAACAACAACAATAATAATGATAATCATAGCAGAAAGCAGACCAGGTCCTTCTTCTCGGCCAAGCGCGACTTGCCCTTGGGCTTCTGGACAGAGCCCTTGAACGCTCGGCCGCCGCGTCCTCACGGGGCTCACTTAAAGAAAACAGGAAACCTCGCAATGCAGGCGGGCACGAGGAGGTCTCTGCAATGATAGCTGCACTGAGTCCCCCAAGTACAAGTAAGTTATCAGTACAGTTGTAGTTGGGGCTATCAGTACCCAGTAACCCACAAGTATATTTTAGAGAAATGACCGGAGCGACCTGGTGGCCTGACCCAAATCCTAAACCCGAAAGAAACCCTAAACCCTATTCTAGAGTATGACCATGCAGTGTGCTCGCGTCTCCGCGCTCCAGAGTCACCCTGGGCTGTGAGCGAGTACACCGCCACCTGGGCCAGCTTCGATGCCGGTGGCCTGGAAGAGAAAATTGTGTAGCGTTTAGGGTTTGGGGTTTGGGGTTTGGGGTTTAGGGTTTAGGGTTCAGGGTTTAGGTGTCCAAACAGCTCAACTACACTTCACAGCCATTGCACCCAAGCAACAGGGACGAGCTACCGCCATCTGACCTGATCCAGAACACAAGACGAGCAAGGCTGTTCCTGCGCCTATGACTCAACCAGGAAGCGCTGCGAAATGTTGGGTTTAGGGCTTAGGGCTTAGGGTTTAGGGTTTAAGGTTTCGGGTTAGCTAATGCTGCAGAGTGGCATGTTCCTCTTGCTTTGCTGGTGACCGTGATCATCGGCAATGTATTGCCCGTACTCAATCTCCCCTGCCTGCACGTTGGGGTCGTCAGAAAGGGACTCTAATTGCATTTTGAAATCTGATTCCCCCCTCCCCCCTCATGTCGAACTCCCCTCATCTCCATCCCAAAACGTCCCTTGGTCAGTGCAGTCCAACCAGTCCTGCTGCAACCACGTGTCGGTCCAGTCTGGCAGCGCATCAATCTCCTGCAAAGCTTCGGAGGCTCATGGGTGGCTACAGCCGGGGTGATAAGTAAGATAGCTTTAGCCATAACTT